ATCAGGGCAACTCGTATGGGCACCACCCCTGGATGGGCTACTGGCAACTGGGGATTTGTTTGTCGCAACCGCAGGCGAAGGCGCCAGCGGCGAGTCGAGTCGGGCCAGGCTACGAGCGGAGCGAATTGCCGGCGCGCGCGCGCAGGTAACAGCAGGACCTACAGCCGGGGGGAGCAGCTGCGCCGAAGGCCGTGCTGCAACCCCGAGGCTGCGAAACAGCGCCGAGGGTGGGGACTGCCAGCTGCTGGGGCTGCCAGGAAGCTGCAAACGTGCGGATACCTCGGGTTCTTGATCACCAGGTACGTGAATTGGACTCAAGCTGGTGGGGATATTTCTTGGTATGCGGGCTCGCGAAGCAGGTCGAAAGCCGTCCGAACACTAGTCGGGCCGCGACCAGGCAGCAAGAAAAGAGAGGCAAGCGAAGCGAGCGCGCGGGCAGCCACTCAGAAGAAGAGCCAGAGACGAAAATACCTCTTGTTTGCACACCAAGTGGCACATGTCGAAAGCGAAGTCCTTGCAGGAGAAAACAGCCGACGGGCGCACCGAGCCACACATGCCGAAGCCCAAGCACCGTGGAGGTCGGCAGCGTGCGAGACCCCACTGATCCCTTTCGGTCACCAGTGGAGGCCGACACCAGCCAGGAGCAGGCCAGGGGCCACCTGACCGCCCATCCCCAGTGTGATCCACGCACGCATGGAATTCGTAGCGAGACCCCACTGTCACCACTGGAGGCCGACACCAGCCAGGAGCAGGCCAGGGGCTACCTGACCGCCCATTCCCAGTGTTATCCTTGCATGGAATTCAGGCTGTCAGAGCACCACCAGACAGCAGCAGCGGCGGCAACCCCAGCCGCGCGGGATAAACCCGGTGAAACAAAGGAGAGGAGGGGAAGTGCACGCCAGGCACGGTAGGCACCCCCGTGTGGCAGCTAACCGCTGCAGCATTAGGATGCAGGAGGGGAGGAAGGGACACGCGGAAACGCCAGGCACACAGGCACAAGGAAGCAGGAGGAGAGGAGGGGAAGTGCACGCCAGGTACGGAAGGCACCCCGGCGTGGCAGCTAACCGCTGCAGCATCAGGATGCAGGAGGGAGGGGAGGAAGTGCACGCCAGGCACAAGGTGTGAGAGGAGGGGGGGAGAAATTTTGTACTCGAGCAGCTGATGCTGACAGGGACAATCACGGTGGGCAGCCGAACCGTTTCTCGGTCCATGGGGTCTCTGTTGCTCGGCCCCTCCTCCCAGCCGTGCCCATGAGCACTCCCACCCTACTGCGCGCGGCCAGAGTCGGCGCCCACGAGATCCCGCCCATCTCGCGGGGGTGCCTGGCGCCCCCTGTTCGCGCCGACGCAAGGTCCCAGGCGTTGCCCACGCACCTGCGCACGGTCGATACCCAGGCCCAATGAGTCGCTCGTGGCCCGAACATCGCAGCTGTGGCTGCGAAGTGAGGTCAGGAAGGCGACGCGGGTTCGCTGGTCGTGCCGACGCTGGTCGACAGCGCGTGCGGTGCCAGGGGCAGCGCGTTGCACGGCAAAGGCGTGCCAGACGGCTGTGAACGACGCACCCTGGGTGACCTGAAGGTACCTGATCGCCTCGTTTGGTGACACTCCGTGGAATTCCCACTGGGAGTCGTGGACCTGGGCTCTATAGAGCGGCCTTCCAGCGTGGGAGCCCCGTGGTCCTGGATGCTGGCGATCGGCGAACAGCCTGGGCGTGCACCCACTTCCCGTTCGACGCGTCAAGGATGCCCCCCCGTTGGGCTGCCAGCCCGTCTCGGCAGTCGAGCTCACTCCTGAGCCAGAACAGCTTGAGCCAGGGGGAGGAGTGGCAGGGAGAATAGGAGGAGGTTGAGGAGGACGACGACAAGGACGAGGAGGTGGAGGAAGAAAAGAAGGATGAGGAGCAGCAGCAGCAGCAGGAGGTGGAGTGGATGAGAGGACGAGGGATAGGGGGAGGAGACGGGGAGGAGTTGAAGAGAGGAGTTGGAAAGACGATGGTGAGGGAAGGCGGAGAGGACACAATCCCTAAATATGTCGCTAAGGCTCCCATGCTTGAAATTGTGGCCCTTTCTGCGTCTACAAAGCTATTGTCCTTGAAACTGCCGCATGGATTATGCTTACTCTGCCCCGGCTCTCGCCCTGTTCTGCTGCACTACAGCCTGTAGTGCGCTCTCGCTTTGGTACTGACGACTCTAGGCTTTACGGCTGGAGGGTCCTCTGGCGGGGAGGGAGAAGAAGAGAAAGTGAGCAAGTGAGCGGCCGAACTTGAGATTATCCCGTTGACAATGTTGCGTTGGTCGCCGTAATGAAGGGACCAACGGCGCAGCTCAGCGGGGAGTGCAATTACCAGCTATTTGCAGCACGCTGCACCTCCGAAATCGACTTGGTATCGCTGTGTAAACAGCGCACCCCGCGCAAGCTTTCGCAGCGTTGATTACCAAGTAGACCTTGACTTCCAACCCCTTCGGCTCTTCATCAGCTCTCGTCCCCCTGACAGGTTCCTGCTCGTCTTCCAGCCCCATCTTACTCCTCTTGACACATCCTCCCATATCCTCTACAATCCTCCCCGATCCTCCTCCTCCTTTTCAAGCTCATCCTTATCCTGCACCTCCTCCTCCACCTCCTCCTCCTCCTCCTGCTCATCATCATCAGCAGCATCAGCATCATCAGCAGCATCAGCATCAGCATCAGCATCAGCATCAGCATCATCAGAATCATCAGCATCAGCATCCGCATCAGCATCAGCATCAGCATCATCAGCATCATCAGCATCATCAGCATCATCAGCATCATCAGCATCATCATCATCATCATCATCATCATCATCATCATCATCATCATCATCATCATCATCATCGTCGTCATTATCAGCATCATCATCATCATCAGCATCATCATCATCATCGGCAGCAGCATCATCAACATCCCCATCATCACCAGCATCAGCATCATCATCATCCTCATCACGATCATCATCATCGTCAGCATCCTCATCAGCATCATCCTCGTCATCATCATCACCTTCGTCATCCGTTTGCTCCTACCCCTCCTCATCCTCCTCCTCATCATCAGCATAATCATCGTCGTCATCAGCAGCAGCATAAGCATCATAATCATCATCAGCAGCAGCAGCATCAGCATCATAATCATCGTCATCAGCATCATCATCAACAACAGCATCACCATCATCAGCATCATCATACCCATCCTCATCCTCATCCTCAGCATCATCAGCATCAGCATCATCATCCATCACAGCATCAGCATCAGCATCATCAGCATCATCAGCATCATCAGCATCGACGTCATCATGAGCATCAACAGCATCGTAGCAGCATAATCATTAACATCATCAGCAGCAGCATCATCTCATCATGATCAGCATCATCAGCAGCATCATGTTCAGCATTATCATCAGCATCATCATCAGCATCATCGTCACCATCAGCATCATCATCATAATATCATCATCAGCATCAGCATCAGCATCAGCATCAGCATCATCATCATCCTCATCATCATCATCATCATCATCATCATCATCATCATCTTGACCAGCATCATCATCAGCACCAGCATCATCCTCATCATCATCAGCACCAGCATCATCCTCATCAGCATCAGCCTCCTCACGATCGTCGTCATCAGCAGCATCAGCAGCATCATTATCATCAGCAGCAGCACCACCATCACCATCATCATCATCAGCAGCATCATCATGATCATCAGCATCATCATTCAACACTATCATCAGCATCATCATCGCCAGCATCGCTTTGCGTCATCATGATCATCATCACCAGACTCAATATCATCATCAGCGTCATCATCAACATCATCATCACAATCATCATCAGCAGCATCATCGTCATTGTCATCGTCGTCATCAGCATCAGCATCATCAACATCGTTTTCGTCATCGTTAGCAGCAGCATCATCATATCATCATACTCAACATCAGCAGCAGCAGTATCATCATCATCATCATCATCATCATCAGCATCATCAGCATCGTCATCGTCATCATCAGCAGCATCAGCATCATCCTCATTATCGGCATCATGAACAACAGCAGTAGCAGCACCATCCTCATCATCATCATCATCATCATCATCATCATCATCATCATCATCCTCTTCCTCCTCTCCCACCTCCCCGATACTCCCGCACCCTCCTTGAACCCCCTGACACCTTCGGAAACCTGCGAATACGAAACACCTTGGGAGCCCCAAAGAAGTGACGGGAGCCTCCGACAATCTCCGAAAGAATAGGAAGGCACCAACTATACACCAACACCGATCCTGGCCAGGATCGGTGTTGGTGTATAGTTGGTGCCCTCCGAAAGAACGCCGAACGCTTTCTGAAACTGTCCCAGCGCCTTCCGAAGGTCACTGTGCCGCTTGCCTCCCGACCACCTCCCTTGGCGGCGCGCCAACGGCGGCTGGGCGAGACGGGCAGCCTAGTCCTGAGGAGGCAGAGGACGTCTTAGAAGAGCCTACCTGGCCCCATCGAAACGATGCTCCCCACGCCCTCTAGGAGGAGGAGGAGGAGGAGGAGGAGGAGGAGGAGGAGGAGGAGTGACGGGGGGCGGCCTGGCCCCATCGAAACGATGCTCCCCACGCCTTCTAGGAGGAGAGGGGGCCTTTTATACCCTCGCCGCCGACGACGTGACTTGTTCACACCCCCTGGAAAGGAGCGGAACACTATACACCGCCGACGGCATTCTGGCCCAGCACTGGAATTCGCACCGGAAACCGGATCCTGGTGTATGCGGGATCCTGGTGTTTACATTGTTCGCTGTTTGCCCCGAAAGCGGGAAAAAGAGTAGATGGTTGCACCACACCACCCCGACATCGTCGCCGACCCCCCAAAAGTCACAGGATCGAAAAACAGTCCGCCACTGGCAGTGTACAGTGTACATGCTCCAGTCTCCGACTTGGGCCCGTATCGGACCCCAGCCCCAAGGGGCACGATTTGCTTCGTCTTAGGTCGTGCCTGTCCTCCTACAGGGGATTCTGGACGAAAAATTCAGAATAGCCCAAAAATACACCAAAAATAATCAAAAATACTCAAAACATCGTCCCCTGACTATTTTTCGACTATTTTTGAATATTCCTCCTGTGGAGGGACAGCCCCGACTTAACCCAAGTGGCACGTTTTGCTTCGCCGCGGGTGGAGAGAAAAAAGCTCCAGGCCACGCACAGCCACCCCCACCAGGGTAGTCCCAGCTGGCCTCGAGAGGCCTCCTGAGCTCGAGCAGTCCCAGCTGACCTCGAAAGGCCTCCTGAGAAGTCTGTGGCGGTCCCAATACTCGGGGAGGGGCAGAACCCCCTTTAGCACAACGTGGTTTAGTGGAAACGACATCGGGCCCAAGCCTGGCGGGCGCAAGCCTGGAAAATGACGGCCGCGGTGCCCTCTCGAGAACCGAAAACGGACAATTCATTCGTCGACGTGTCCACCCCCGAAATACCCCGACGCCGCCTCTGGCGACTCCCCTGGGGCGCTCCGCGCCCCAGGGCGGAGGTGCCGAGACCTCGGGAGGCCCCTTGGAGCCAGCTGGGACTGCTCGGGGGCCTCATGGAGGCCCGCCGGGACTGCCTGGGGGGGAGCTGTCTGTGCGCAGCCCGGAGCCTTACCAGTCGCGGGTTGTGCTCTGCAGCAGTCCGGAAACCCGAAAACAGCCCGCCCCGCTTTTTGTCCGCAGCGCCGGGAGGGTCAGGAGTGACGTGGGACGGCCCGGCTCTGGGAGGGGAGCCCGCGCGTCACATGGCCTCGTCTCCATCAGGGGAGCGCAGAGACCGAGACGGTGCCCGGAGATCTGCCCGGGTGTGACCGAGGCCGGCGCCCGAGACTGTCCGACCGCGCCCGAGTGAGGTCTGCAGGGGGCCACATGCGAGCCCTACCGCTACGCCCCACGATTTCTGAGGGGGAGGGTGCTTTTCGCTTCGCTCGGGAGCTCCCGAACAGTGCACCCCACCCTCCCCCTCAGAAATCGTGGGGGGCAGGGGTAGGGTTCGCATGTGGCCCCCTAGCCTGGCTCGAAGCTAGCACGATCTGCAGTTTCGGTCACAAGTTTGGCACAACTTCGGGCGCGTCGTCGGCCGCACATATTAGAGGCCTCCTAGATGGGGTCCGAGTAGATGGTCGCGCCGCATCGCCAATACATCGGTGATGTATCGCCGATGCATCGGCCATGCACTGGCGACGCCGGCGATACATCCGCGGCGTCGGCGTGGAGAGACACGGACTCCACATCGAGCCGCATCGTTGATGCATCGGCGATGCGGCGCGATCCTCCGACACCATCTACTCGGACCCCATCTGGGAGGCCTAGACATGTATGATGTTTCGGTCACGCACCTTTCTGGCCGACAGGGGCCCGGGCGCCGTGACAAGCCGGCCTCGGCATCGGCGCTGCACCGCCGACAGATCGGGGATAGGCCCGTCGATAGGCGAGCCCCCACGCTCCCCCCGGGCGGGGCAGGGGCGCCCAGGCACCGCTTGGCGAGGAGCGGGCGACTGCGAGCCGATGTTTCCGCCCCCCCCCCCTGGGCCAATCCCCCGTATCGGCGCCCCTGACTCCCAGACCTCCGACATTGCGTTTTTGTTCGCAGCACGTCTGCCCCGAGAGTTGGGCCCCTGCCCCGGGCCCGTCTCTTCGTCACGAGCCGCTTTTTTTTACGGCCCCAGGGCCGAGGGAGGGCCCCCGCGGAGGCCGTGCCAAGAGCCCGGCGTCGTGCTTCGTTCGCGGCGCGGGGATGCCAGGGGTCGATGTTCCCCTTCTGTCGGCGGCAGTGGGCCAGGGTGGTTCCACCGCTCCGCCGACGACGACGACGACGACGACGACGACGACGACGACGACGACGACGACGACGACGACGGCGGCGGCGGCGGCGACGACGGCGGCGGCGACGGCGACGGCGACGGCGACGGCGACGGCGCGGCGGCCTTCGGCGCTGGCGCCGGCGCTGGCGCGGCGGCCTTCGGCGCTGGCGCCGGCGCTGGCGCGGCCGCCTTCGGCGCTGGCGCCGGAGCTGGCGCGGCCGCCTTCGGCGCCGGGGCTGGGGCCGCAGCCTTAGCCTTCGGCGCCGGGGCGGGCGCGGAGTCCGCCTCCTGCGGAGAAGGTGGGGGGTGGAAGGATGGGAAGGAAGGAAGGAAGTAATGGAGAGAAGGCAAGGAGCCTTCTCCTCCTCCTACTCCTCCTCCTCCTCCTCCTCCTCCTCCTCCTCCTCCTCCTCCTCCTCTCCTCCTCCTCCTCCTCCTCCTCCTCCTGCGCCTCCTCCTCCTCCGACTGCGCCTCCTCCTCCTCCTCCTTCTCCTCCTCCTCCTCTTCCTCCTCCTCGTCCTCCTCCTCCTCCTCCTCCTCCTCCATCTCCCTCTGCGGGAAGGAAGGACGCGAGCCCCACCTCTTCTCGTTGCGGAAAGGTCACGACAGGCGGTTTTGACAGTTTTCGACCTCTGAGGGCCCTTGCCAGGCCCTGGGACCACAAACACAAGACTCGGGATGACAAGGCGATTTTGGGCAAGGTCCAGACAGCGTTGTGAGAAGCACGACGCCAGAGCTTTGTAAAGCGCAAAGACAGGGAAGGCGGATCGGGGGGACGTGCAGCGATGGGAGGCATCTTGGAGGCTGGTCGTCGCCTCGGCCAGGTCCGCGTCGAAAAGCGGGTCAAAATGGACCCAGGAAGGGGCCCAGGGACCGATCTTAAACGCAATGGCCTGGGGCGACATCGACCCTTGACATCCTGGCGACACGAGAAAACCAAGCGAAGGGCTTGAAAACTGTTCGGCCTCCACGGGGGGTCTCGCCCAAAAGCCCCTCCAAAAAGACGGCCCGGGAGGTGAAGCCAGTCCTGGGAAAGGTCAAGATCTCTGGGGGGTCCCATGGACCGATCGCCCGCAGCGGCTGGAGGCCTGGGAGGGGGGGAGGAGGAGGAGGAGGAGGAGGAGGAGGAGGAGGAGGAGGAGGAGGAGGAGGAGGAGAAGGAGGAGGAAGAAGAAGAGGAGGGGAGGAGGGGCACTGGGAGGGAGAGGGGGAGGGGGAGGGGGAAGGGAGAGGAGGGGGAGGAGGACCAGTGTAAACCTACGATCCATCAGCGATGTTGCAATAGACCCTCTCTTCAAAATCGCCCTTCAAGGGTCCTTATACATAGTTATTTGCACTGAAGAAAATGACCCGTTGGAAGACAACGGTTTGAAAATCCTGAACTTTGCACAACACCTTCCTGTGACTGCAACGCCGCAGTCCCAACGTTATTGCTGCGCCCTGACGATCCGGAGTCGTGACAGAACACCTTCCCTTGTATGTCAACACCGCGAATCAGTGTGACGGGTTCGCCCAGGCAATCCTACATCGTGCTAAGACACCGTATATGGGACGTCAACCATAAGAACCCCTGATATGATTGCAAAAGTCGAATACGAATGCGCGCGGCGCTCAGGCGATAGCCACAAAATTGAAACAATTGCGCGTGGCGCTAAAGAGAGAAACCACATGTTGAAAAAGACCCGCCCTCCATCCGTGAAACCCTTGCAAGCTGTTGAAACTATTGTTCGCGGCGCTCAGGCGAGAAGCACACTTTGAACAGGACCATCCGTGAAACTCATGCAAACGTTGAGACAACTGTGCGCGGCGGCCGGGAAAAAGCGACAGTTTGAAAAGGACCCGACCTCCATCCGTGAAGCTTTTGCAAAATTTGAAACAATTGCGCGCGGCGCTCAGGCGAGAGCCACATGTTGAGAAGGTCCCGCCCTCCATCCGTGAAACTCGGACAAACGTTGACACGAATGCGCGTGGCGCTCAGAAAAGGGCCACATCTTGAAAAGGACCCACCCTCCATCCGTGAAACGCATGCATAGTTTGAAACAATTGCGCGCGGCGCTCAGGCGACAGCCAAATGTTGGAAAAAAACAAACAAACAAACAAACAAACAAACAAACAAACAAACAAAAAAAAAAAAAAAAAAAAAACTCCATACGTGAAACTCATACGAAAGTTGAGACAAATGCGCGCGGCGCTCAAGCGAGAACCACACTCTGGACAGGATCCACCCATCGCCACCGAAACGCATGCAGAATTTGAAACACTTGCGCGCGGCGCTACAGAGAGAAACCACATGCTGAAAAGGACTCGCCTCCATCCGTGAAGCCCGTACAAGCTGCTGAAACGCTTGCTCGCGAAACCCAGGCGAGAACCGCACTTTGAACAGGACCCGCCCTCCACCCGTGGGACTCTTGCAAGCTGTTGCTAACACAGCTGCTCGCGGCGCGCAGGCGAGAGCCGCATTCTGAAAAGGACCCGCCCTCCATCCGCGACACCCTTGCAACTTTGAAACACTTGCGCGCGGCGCTCAGGCGAGAGCCACACTCTGAAAAGGACCCACCCTCAAGCGCGAAACTCCTGCAAACTTTAAGGACAGCTGCGCGCGGCGATCAGGAAAGAGCCGCCTTCTCTGAACGACCGCCCCCGATCCGTGAAACGCATGCAAACTTGGAGACGATTGCGCGCGGCGCCGAGGCGAGAGCCGCATGTTTCAGTGCACAAGCCTTGCAGAAGTGATGCAGCGGATTTCTGCGTGGATTTTTGCCCGAGGCGGCGAGCGAAGAACGAAGTGAATTTCGCGTGGATTACTTATGGTCTCCATTTCATTCACAACAACAAAAAAAAAACACGGAATTCACCTCGGAATCCGGAACGAAAGTCTCAAGGATACCCCGGGCCCACCCTTTCCTTTTTCGAACGAAACCCGCTCTGCGATGTTGGCGCCATGACATTTTGAGAAGGACCTGCCCTCCATCCATGAAACTGTTGCAAATTTCGGTGGCGAGCGAAGGGGGAAATGAGAAGGGGCGGGCCTTCTCAGAAGGCTCGGAAGTTCCCCTGCCTTCAAACAAGTGCTCTAAGCCTTTTCCGAAAACACAGAAATCTCGCAGAAGGAGCGAGGGTTTCCGAGAAGACCCACCGCCTTCTGAGAAAGCCTTTTCCTTTTCATTCCCCCCTTCGCTCGCCGCCAAAAAGACAAAGCCACATTTTGAGAAGGACCCGCCCTCCATCCATGAAACTGTTGCAAATTTCGGTGGCGAGCGAGGGGTGGAAGTGAGAAGGGGCGGGCGTTCTCAGAGTGCTCGGAAGTCTCCCAGCCTTCGGACAAGTGCTCGAAGCCTTTTCCAAACACTCATAAAACCTCGCAGAAGGCGCGAGGGCTTCCGAGAAGACCCACTGCCTTCTGAGAAGGCCTTTTCCTTTTCCCTTCCCCCCTTCGCTCGCCGCCGAAAAGACAGAGCCACATTGAAAAGGACCCGCACTCCATCCGTGAAACTGTTGCGTATTGTGGGCTTCAGGATCATAAGCGGCGTGGAAATCTCAGGCGAAGCGCCGGGCCCGCACCACCGGCACGTCTCGGGGTGCGACAGGGATGAGTTTGGAGGAGGAGGAGGAGGAGGAGGAGGAAGAGGAGGAGGACCAGGAGGAGGAAGGCCCCAGAGGGCCCCTTCGCACCCCGTGGGGCCCTCCAGGGCCCAAAAAAATCCGACTGTGCCTTCCAGAGCATCCCCAGCTCCGTTGGGTAGAGGGAAGCGCATCACGACCACCGTCTGAGGCGTGCAGGATCTGCTGTTCTGCGGGATGGACGCGTGCAGGATGCCTTTCTAAAGTACCCCGACAAGCACACGCCACCACGACCAACAACAACACCCAGAACACACACCCCTCTGGCCACCCTTCGACGCAGTGGTGGTAACGACCCTCTGTCCTACAACCCTCCATTTCCTTCTGCTGAGGCAGGCGAAGTCTGTCGCCCACTGAGCACCAGGGCGAACGCGACGAAGAAGAGGCCGACCACGACCAACCCGCAGCCGACCTTCAACGCGCTTCAGCAGCCCGCCAGCGCGGCGCGGGCCTCGGGGCATCGCCCAGGCCGTGCGCGCGGTCCCACGCAAGCCAGCGCAGGTGGCGAAGCGCAGGTCTGCCGAGCCAGCCAGCCGTCTCGTGGGCCAGCGGCAGGACAGGCACATCCTCCTCCTCCTCCTCCTCCTCCTCCTCCTCCTCCTCATCCTCCTCCTCCTCCTCCTCCTCCTCCTCCTCCTCCTCCTCCTCCTCGGAACACGGAGCTGATGGCATTGAGCCCGATGGTCGGAGCTGCCACGTCCCCCCCACACGGTCGGTCGCCCTGGGGGGGGGGGGGTAAACATTCTAATGATGCTGCGAGAAATTTGAGGAGCCACGAAGGAAGAAGTGGACCTCCCAGGTGGGTGGAGTAGCTAGGTCCCCAGATCACCCCTGGGGGGAAGGAAAACACGAAATGTCCTCCTTATCCTCCGCCTTCTCCTCCTTCTCCTCCTCCTCCTCCTCCTCCTCCTCCTCCTCCTCTCCTCCACTCCTCCTCCTCCTCCTCCTCCTCTCTCCTCCTACCCTCCTCTCCTGCTCCCCCTCCTCCTCCACTCTCCTCCCCTCCTCCTCCCCCTCCTCCTCCCTCTCCGCCTCGTCATCATCACCACCAAAACTAACAACATCACCACCACCACCACCACCACAACCACCACATCATCATCACCATCACCATCATCATCATCATCATCATCATCATCATCATCATCATCATCATCATCATCATCATCATCATCATCATCATCATCATCATCATCATCATCATCATCATCATCATCACCATCACCATCACCATCACCATCATCATCATCATCATCATCATCATCATCATCATCATCTTCAGCATCAGCATCATCATCATCAGCAGCAGCAGCAGCATAACAGCATCCTTCCTCATCATCATCAGCATCATCATCATAATCATAATCAGCATCATCATAATCATCACCTCATGATCAGCCTCATCAGCAGCAGCATCATCAGGATCAGCGTAAGCATCAGCATCATCATCATCATCATCAACATCATCATCAGCATCAGCATCACCACCATCAGCATCATCAGTATCAACATCATCAACAGCATCAATATCATCAAAAACATCCTCATGGTCATCATTTTTAGCATCAGCCTCCTTATCATCATAATCATCATCAGCAGCATCAGCATGGGAATCATCAGCATCATCAGCATCATCAGCACCATCAGCCTCATCATCATCATCAGCCGCATCAGCATCATCATCACCATCATCAGCATCACCATCATCATCATCATCATCACAACCACCACCACTATCATCATCACCATCATCAAACATCATCATCATCATCATCATCATCATCATCATCATCATCAGCATCATCATCATCATCAGCATCATCGTCATAATCGGCATCAACATCAGAATCATGAGCAGCAGCAGCAGCATCATCAGCAGCAGCAGCATCAGCCTCATGATCCTCAGCAGCAGCATCAGCATCAGCATCAGCATCATCATCATAATCAGCAGCATGATCAGCATCAGCAGCGTCATCGCCCTCATGTTTCATCACAAATATCAGAATCATCGACAGCATCGTCATCATCAGCATCAGCGTCATCATCATCATCATCATCACCATCATCAAACATCATCATCATCAGCATCAGCATCAGCATCCAAATCAGAATCATGAGCAGCAGCAGCATCATCATCGTCATCATCAGCAGCAGCATCAGAGTCATTATCTTCAGCAGCAGCAGCAGCATTAGCATCAGCATCATCACGACCATCAGCATCATGATCATCATCAGCAGCATCACCGCCCTCATGTTTCATCACAAGTATCAGAATCATCGGCAGCTTCGTCATCAACAGCATCAGCGTCATCATCATCATCATCATCATCATCATCATCATCAGCATCAGCATCACCATCATCATCACTATCATCATCATCATCATCATCATCATCATCATCATCATCATCATGATCATCAGCATCATCATCAGCATCATCATCATCATAATCACCATAAGCATCACCAGGAGCATCATCGCCGTCGTCGTCATGGGCATCAGCACGGTCACAAGCATCAGCCTCATCATTAACATCATCGTCGTCGTCATCGGCCTCATCCTCATCATCATTATCAGCAGCGTCGTCCTCATCATCGTCATCATCGTCATCAGCAAGCAGCAGCAGCAGCAGCAGCATCGTCATCAGCATCAGCATCATCATCATCATCATCATCATCATCATCATCATCATCATCATCATCATCATCATCGTGGTCGTCATCATCATCTGTATCAGTATCATTATCATCATTAGCACCATCAACATCACAAATATCATCATCCTCGGCATCAGCATCATCACCATCACCCTCACCATCATCATCATCATCATCATCATCATCATGATCAGAACGACTATCATCAGCAGCATCATCATCATGGTCATCATCGTCGTCGTCTTCGTCTTCGTAGTCGTCGTCGACGACAAACCCATCATCCTCATCAGAATCATTATCATCATCAGCATCATCAGAGTCGTCATAATCAGCATCATCATCATCATCAGCATCATCAGCATAATCATCATCAAAAGTAGCATCATCGTCGTCGTCGTAGCTGCCGTCATCATCATCATCATCATCATCATCATCATCATCATCATCATCATCATCATCATAAGCATCATCACCATCATCACCATCATCACCATGACCATCACCATCTCATCATCATCATCATCATCATCATCATCATCATCATCATAAGCACCATCATCACCACCATCACCACCATCATCATCATCGTCATCATCGTCAGCAGCATCATGATCATCATCATCATCGTCATCGTCATCATCATAGTACTCATCATCATCATGATCACCATCATTTTCATCATCCTCATCATCATCATCATGATCATCATCATCAGCGTCATCATCATAATAATCATCATAAGCATCATCAGTATCAGCATCATCATCAGAATCAGCATCATGAGCAGCATCATCATCCTCATCGTCATCGTCGTCATCATCATCATCGTCATCATCATCATAATGTTGATCAGCATCCGTATGATCCATCCTTATCCTCATCACCATCATCACCAGCAACAGCACCGTCACCATCACCATCACCGTCCTGTCATCACCATCATCATCATCATTACCAGCACCATCACCGTCACCATCACCATCACCGTCCCGTCATCACCACCATCATCATCATCATCCCCACCACCGCCATCAGCATCATCATTATCATCATCATCATCATCATCATCATCATCATCATCATCATCATCATCATCATCATCATAACCCTGATCCTGATCCTCACCCTCATCCTGATCCTCATCGTCATCCTCCTCCTCGCCCTCCACGAAGACCTCGACTCCCCCTCGGCGCTCGGCAGACCCAGCAGGGGGTTGAGTGGGTCTCGCTCCTGCAGCCGCTCTATGAGCACCTTCTTGGTGCCCGAGACCTTCAGGCCCTTCTTCTTGCAGAGCTCCTGCTAGCGTCCAGCACGGCGCCGTCGTCGCCGCCGTCGTCGGCTTCGCCGTCGTGGCCGTCGGTTTTTGCCGCGGCCAGTCTCAGTGGGCTCCCTCAGTTCCTCCGGAGGCCTCTGGGAGAAGCGAAGGCAAGCCTGCCGCACGCGCGCGCCTGTGCGTGCCCTCCCTGGCTGACGCAGCGCGCGGGGGAGGGGGAGGGGGGGAGAAAGAGGAGGAGGACGAGGAAAAGGAGGAGGAGAAGTAGGAGGAGGAAGAGGAGGAGAAGGAAGAGGAGAAGGCCGGGGAAGGACGAGGAGGAGGAGGGAGGCGGGGGGAGAGAGGAGGAGGAGAGGAGGAGGAGGAGGAGGAGGAGGAGGAGGAGGAGAGGAGGAGGGAGAGAAGAGGAGGGGGAGGAAGAGGAGGATGAGGAGGAGGAGGAAGAGGAGGAGGCGGGAGGGGAGGAGGAGGAGGAGGAGGAGGAGGAGGAGGAGGAGGAGGAGGAGGACGAGGAAGAGGAGGAGGAGGAGGAAGAGGACGAGGCGGGGGGTGGGAGGAGGAGGAGGAGGAGGAGGAGGAGGAGGAGGAGGAGGGAGGAGGAAGAGGAAGAGGAGGAGGAAGAGGAGGCGGAGGGGGAGGAGGAGGAGGAGGAGGAGGAGGAGGAGGAGGAGGAGGAGGAGAGGAGGAGGAGGAGGAGGAGGAGGAGTGAGGAGGAGGAGGAGGAGGAGGAGGAGGAGAGGAGGGGGAGGAGGAGGAGGAGGAGGAGGAGGAGGAGGAGGAGGAGGAGGAGCGGGAGGAGGAGGAGGAAGAAGAGGAGAAGGAGGATGAGGAGGAGGAGGAGGAGAGATAAGGAGAAGAGGAGGAGGAGGAGGAGAAGGAGAAGAAGGAGGAGGAGGAGAGAAGAGGAAGGAGGAAGAGGAGGAGGAGGAAGAGTAGGAGGAGGCGGCGGGGAGGAGGAGGAGGAGGAGGAGGAGGAGGAGTAGAAGGAGGAGGAGGAGGAGGAGGAGGAGGAGGAGGGGCAGGGCCCCTGGTGACGCGTGCGCGCGCATCGGCGCGCAGGCCGACCGCGGCGCTGGCTCTGCTCCTTGCATCGCTCATGCATTCGTCGACCAGCATTCTCGCCCGAGGGCGTCCATGCGTCGCGGGTCCGCCCGAGGGTTGGCCTGAGATGTCTCGCACTCTGTCTCCATCATCATCATCATCATCATCATCATCATCATCATCATCATCATCATCATCATCATCATCATCATCACCATCATCATCATCATCATAAACATCGTCATCGTCATCGTCATCGTCACCATCCTCATGGTCATCGTCATGCGCATCAGCATCATCATCATCATCAGCAGCAGCAGCAGCATCGGAATCATCATCCTCATCATCATCAGCATCACCGACATCCTCATCGTCATCATCATCATCAACAGCAGCATCATCATCATCTCACCACCACCACCACCACCATAATCCGCCGGCCCCCTTGCGGGGCCATCAGGCTGCGAGGGTTAGGCTTGCTGCTCCCTGCACCAGTTCCAGTTTCCAGTTCCCATTGTTACTTTTATTTCCTACTGTAAATTGTTACTGTCCGCGCGAGGGGGGGAGCCGAAAACTGCCCTGGTCAGCGTCCCCCGGGAAGGTTGTCAGAATTCCTGGGGGGGCAAAAATTGAAAACCCCTCACGCATATCGGCAGGGTCAGGGTCCAAAAACACAAAGGGTTTGCCACATTTCTGAAATTCGGTGGCACCCCTCACGCAGATCGGCGGGTCCGGGTCCAAAAACACAAAGGATTTGCCACATTTTTGAAATTCGGTGGCACCCCTCATACAGATCGGCGGGGTCAGGGTCCAAAAACAAAAGCGATTTGCCACATGTCTGAAATTCGGTGGCACCCCTCACGCAGATCGGCGGGGTCAGGGTCCAAAAACATAAGGGATTTGCAGTATTTCTACATTTCGGTGGCACCCCTCACGCAGATCGGCGGGGTCAGGGTCCAAAAACACAACAATTGCTGCATGTTTTAAATTCAGTGGCACCCCTCACGCAGATCGGCGGGGTCAGGGTCCAAAAACACAAAGGGTTTGCCACATTTCTGAAATTCGGTGGCACCCCTCACGCAGATCGGCGGGGTCCGGGTCCAAAAACACAAAGGGTTTGCCACATTTTTGAAATTCGGTGGCACCCCTCACGCAAATCGGCGGGGTCAGGGTCCAAAAACACAAGGGATTTTCCGCATGTTTTAAATTCGGTGGCACCCCTCACGCAGGTCGGAGGGGTCAGGGTCCAAAAACACATGGGATTTGCCACATTTCTGAAATCCGGTGGCACCCCTCACGCAGATCGGCGGGGTCAGGGTCCAAAAACACATGGGATTTGAAACATTTCTGAAATTCGTTGGCACCCCTCTCGCAGATCCGTAGGGTCAGGGTCCAAAAACAAAAGCGATTTGCCACATGTCTGAAATTCGGCGGCACCCCTCACGCAGATCGGCAGGGTCAGGCACTTGGGGCCCACAAGAGGTCCCCAGGAAATTCGAAGAGGCTCCCAGGAGGCTCCCAAGAGGCCCCCAAAAGTCTCCCAAGAGGCCCCAGAATTCATCCCCAGAGGCTCCCGAGAGCCTCCCGAAGAGACCCCAAGAAGCATCTCTGAGGGCTCTGGCCCACGTCGTCGTCGTCGTCAACGTCGTCGTCGTCGTCGTCGTCGTCGTCGTCGTCGTCGTCGTCGTCGTCGTCGTCGTCGTCGTCGTCGTCGTCCCTCCTTTCAGGGTCGGCGGCACCGTGCCTTCGCAATCGAGAACCACCAGGGAGGGATCAAACCAGCCATCGCGCTGCCGCTCAGAGGGAGCTTGCGCGAGAAGCTAACTCTGGATGGGGCAATAATCGCCCCCCCTTGGACCCGCCGGGGGGGTGGGCACGTGCTGTCGGAATGGGTAGCAGGGGGGTCGGAGGAGGAGGAGGACGAGGAGGAAGAGGAGGAGGGGGAGGAGGAAGAGGAGGAGGAGGACGAGGAGGAAGACGAAGAAGGGGGGGGGGGGGGGGGGCAAGCTCCGTCGGAAGGTTAGTGGCCCACCACTCGATTGATATCCCACCCAGAGAAGGGTCCATCCCTGGCCAGAAGCGCGGCCCACGCTGGAAGCCGAGGGCAGCGCTCCGAGCGGGGAGTCAGGCTGGCACTGAGGCGGAGGCAAAATCATCAGCGACAAGATGCGTGCGCGCCCAAAATGTGCACTAGGATGATTACCCATCGGTCGGAAGAATAGGTAGAAATATGAAGTAGAAAGGCGTTGAAAGTAGATTGGGTCTCCGCCCGCCCCCTGAAGAGGAGGGAAGAGGGGAAGCCACTCGATCATTGAGTAGGAAGGCGCTTAAAGTATGGAAAATGTGACTCCAAAAATACCTATTTTCAGCGACCGATGGGTAGGCACATGCCCACCACCATGTGTGTACTCGCGCGTGTTAGAGCCCATTGTTTATCACGTGCTCGCGATAGCGCCCGTTGCCAGCCCCCCACACTCTTTTCTCCTCCCCCGCCCCCTGGTCGCGTCGCGATTCGCGCTCGCACAATCTGGGAAGCAGCCATCCATAAGCATTCCCAGACGCCGCGAATCGTGACGTGACCAGCCCCATCCCACATCCCTCCCCCTGGTCACGCCCATCACCGCCAGGGGATGAGAAATTGTCTTCAGCACGCACGTGGAATAGCAAATGGACGCTTGAATTTGCCACGCATGTGCGGTCGCACATGTCTCGGCGCATAAAGATCTGTGCCGTGCAAGTAGCCATTAAGCGCACATAAGCGCGAGCGCGAGCATGAGCGTGGACGTACAAGTGTGCGTAGGTGGGCGAACATAAGTGGAAGAAGTGGGTCAAGGGAAAGGGGAGGCGAATGGAGGACTCCAGAAAATACTAGGAACTCAACGCCCGCAACGTGGTGGGGACCATAGACGCGCCCCTCCCGCGGATTGCTCCTTCAGCTCGGATGCCATCATGCTGTCATACTCCGCAAGCAAGGCCACTCTACTGGACCACCTGGGAAAGGAGGAGGACAACGACGACGTCGACGAGGACGAGGAGATGACGAGGACGACGTGGGAGAGGAAAAAGGTGTGAGGACTGAGGAAGGGTGTTCCCCAAGGTTTCCAACAGGACGGAGTCTTAAAGGGAGGAGATGGAAAGGAAGGAGATGCAGCGGCAGCAGCAGCGGGGAACCGACGGCCTGCGACAACGTCGCACGTGGGCCGTGGCGCGCACCGAGCCCACTAGTCTGGGGAGGCCGCGGTTACTCACTGGCCACCACTACGCACAACAATCGTACGCCCGACTCTACAGCCGACGGGGGGGGTCAGCAACACCTCCAAGAATGTCAACGTGCGCCGCTACGACTACATCGGCAGGGCTTGCGCCGTGAACGTAGGGGTTGTCCAATCATCGTGGGGCACTGCACAGGATGCGCGTGCACCTTACGTATTGAAGGCAGTGTCTTCTCCTAGCCAGTATCATTTCAGCAGGGGCGCTTCGGCCCGATGCGAAGGAGAGAGCGGAAAAAAGAGACTAAGCCTTCGCCCGCGACGTCCGCAAGCATACGTCCGCTGCCGCCGACTGGAACGTAGCCTTGACAACCTCGCAGGTGCTCTCGATGGTCTGGTCCTCGAACTGCTTCTGCGACGCGTAGCCCCGCGTCCGCTGCCTCCGACGAGGATGAGGCCTCTGCCACCTCCTCTGTCTTCTCGACGACCTAATCCTCGATCTGCTTCTGCGACGCGCACTCCCCAATATGCTTGCCGACGTCCGCTGGCAACGACGGGGACTCCACCTTTACTACTTCGCAGGTCTTCTCGGCGGCCTGGACTTCGATCTGCTTGTGCGACGTGTACTCCAGACTGAATTTCCCGACGTCCTCTGCCACCGACGGGAGCTCCACCTTTACCACCTCGCATATCTTCTCGACGGCCTGATCTTCGATCTGCTTCTGCGACGCGTGCTCGCAAATGTGTTCCTCGATGTCCGCAGGCGCCGCCAAGTACTCCGCTTTGACCACCTCGCAAGTTTCCTCGACCGACTTCTGCAACGCGAACTCGCGTATGGGTTTCTCGACGTCGACAAGCTCTGAAGAAGCCGCTGCCTGGACCACCTCGCAGGTCTCTTTGACAACCTGGTCCTCGATCTGCTCCAGCGACGCGGATATGCTCCTCGACATCCGACTGCGCCGCCGGGAACTCTGCCTCTGCCACTTCGCAGGCCTCTTCGAAAACCTGGCCCTCGATCTTCTTCGGCAACGCGCACTCGCAGTATAACCTTGTCCACAATCTGCTTCTGCGACGCGCACTCGCAGATGAGTTTTTCGACCTCCACCTCGAAGGCCTCTTCGACAGCCTGGTCCCCCATATGCTGCTGCGGCGAAAACTCGCGGGTGAGCAGCTCGACGTTCGCAGGCATCGACGGGACCTCCGCCTCGATCACCTCGCAGGTCTCCTCGTCGGCCTGGTCCTCGATCCGTTTCTGCAACGTGCGCTCGCGGATGAGCTCCTCGACGTCCACTGGTTCCGACGGGAACTCCTTCCTTACCGCATCGCAGGTTCTTTCGACAGCCTGGTTATCGAGATGCTTCTGGGGCGCACACTCGCAGGTGAGCCTCTCGACGTCCTCAGGCCCCGACTGGTCCGCCGCCGCCATGGCGCCCAGTCGGCGCTGGGCCGCTACCCAGGGTGTGCCCCGCAAGGATCCCGCGCCTGGTATGCGGCAGCCGCCGCTGGGTCACCTAACAGCCACGGCTCGTTGGCCGCGCTGCCCCGTTGAGGCGCAGCGCTGGGGCCGGGGCGAAACTGGCGCCAAGAACGCCTGGGCCCGTGGTCCAGGCGCCCTGAAGACTGAGGAAGAGGAGAAGGGGTGGGGGGAGGCGGGGGGGGGAGAAAGAACGGAAGAGAAGACAAGACGGAGGAGCGAAGAGGGAGGAAGGAGGGAGGGGAAAGACCAGGGATGGGAAGAGGGGAGGAGGAAGGGAAGGGAGGAGGGCAGAGAGATATGTGAGGAGGGCAGGAGAAGAGGAGAAGATGAGGACGATAATGAGCAGGACAAAACAGAAAAGGGGGACAAGGAAAACGACAATAACAACGCAAGAACAGAGTGGAAAAAAGGATTTGGAGAAGAAGGGGGACGATGAGGAGATGGGGGAAGGAGGGAAGATGGAGGATGGAGGAGGGATGGAGAAAGGGGGGCGATGGGGGGAAAAGCGAGCACGGAGGAGGAAGGAGAGAAGGACGGAGGAAGCAGCAGAGACAGAGGGCGGAAGAGTGAAAAGGGGAATGATAACGGAAGAAGGATAAATGATCGAACGAACGAACTTTAGAGGAAAGGCCATTCCGCACAGAAACTTTCACCAGGAGCGCCCTCTGAAACGAAAATGGAAAACAGCTTCAAAAAAACTGAGGCGATGGATGAATGCAGCGGCATCTTCGCAATCAAAAGTATCCAACCCAATTGTGGTACAGGCCACAATGCAGCACGAACACCCAGTTCGGCAAGCAAAACAAGCTTCGAACCAGCCGAGATCCCCACGCGCATTGGGGCTCGCGCACAGAAGCCGAAAACCAGCTTGGACCCAGCGGCAGCGGAACATACCCACTCCCAAATAAATCGCAGGCCCCCTCAACATCGCGGGTCGCACGCCTAGTCCGCGCAGGACATCGCGCGTCAGCTCGCGAAATGAAGCCGAAACTGTATATGATTTGAAAGAGTTTCTGTGGAACTCACGTCATCCTCCCCCGGCGCGCGAAGGAATGGGCCCGCCAACCGCCCCCCCTGTTCCGTCTCCTGCGAGATCCGGGAAATCTAGCGACGAATTCCAAGCCAGCGCCCTCGCGTGGGACATCCTCAGAAAACCGAAAGGGGCCTGCAACATCCCCCCGCCCCATTCCGGGCGAGATCCGGAAAATCCGGGGACGAATTCCAAACCAGAACCATCGCGCGGGACACCATCAGAAAACCACCCGCCGAAGCCTCCCCAAGGAGGCCTTCAGTGGAGGCCCCGCTGATCCGCTTCCGGCGAAGCCAGGAGGTCCCGCGACGAACTCCAAACCGGCGCCCTCGCGCGGGGCATCAGAACACACCCGCCCCCAGAGGCTCCCCAGGGAAGCCTTCAGGCCCCCATGGTCCGTCTCCGGCGAGATCTGGGCAATCCGGCGACGAATCCCTCGCCGGCGCCCTCGCGCGGGACACACGCTCGGAGAACTGGCCCCTGGCGCCTCCAAAAAAAGCCTTAATGAGGCCCCCCATGCGAGATCTGGGAAATCCGGCGACGAATTCCACGCCGGCTCCCTCGCGCGGGACATTCTCAGAAATCTGGCCCCCGGAGCATCCCCAAGGAAGCCTTCAGAAGCCCCCTGTCCCGTTTCTGGCGAGATCCGGAAAGTCCCGCGGCGAGTTCCACACTGGCGCCCTCGCGCGGGACATCCTCAGAACTGGCCCCCGGAGCGCTCAAGGTAGTTTCCAGAAGCCCCCCTGCCCCGTTTTCGGCGAAGTCCAGGAAATCCGGCGACGAATTCCACAACGGCGCCATCACGTGGGACACCGCCAGAACACCCCCTAGGAGGCTTCCAAAAGTCCCCACTTTCCGTTTCTGGCGATATCCGGGAAATCCGGCGACGAACCCAAATCGGCGCAACCAACCCGAGCGTCCCCGAGGAGGCTTTCAGAGGCCCCCCTGTTCCGATTTCGGCGAGATCCCGGAAATCCAGCGACGAATTCCAGACCGGCGCCCTCGCGCGGGAAATCCTCTAAACCGCCCCCTGGACCTTGCACGAAGAGCCTTCAAGCCCCCGCGCTTGGCGACGCATTCCAAACTGGAGCCCTCGCGCGAGACATCATTCAGAAAACAAGCCCCCAAAGGCTCTCCAAGGAGGCCTTGAGAAGCCGCCTGTTCCGTTTCCAGCGAGATCCTGGAAATCCAACGACGAATTCCAAGCCGGCGCGGGAAATCCTCGGAAAACCAAACCCCCGGACCTTGCGCAAGGACCTTCAGGGGCCTTCCAACCTTGCGCCCCCGGGCGGGGCGCCTGGAGGCTTCCCAAGGAAGCCTTCGGAGGCCCCCTTTGGTCCGTCCGGCGAGATCTGGGAAGTCCGGCGAGAAATTCCACGCCGACGCCCTCGCCCCCAGGCTTCCCCAAGAAGCCGTCAGAGGCCCCCCATGTTGGGGGGCGGAAAGATACGGATACGTGTTGTCCCCGGACCTCTCTTGGGGTGCGTTCTGACAAGAATTTCGAGGCGAATCCAGCGGTGACAACGAGGATTCCCCAGGAGGACCAGGAAAGGCCGAAAACGAAGGGGGACAACACGTATCCGTATCATCCCTGCCTAGATGCTTTGCCCCAGCATCAGGGGGAGATCTCTGTCCAGCCCTCCTGGCAGGGAAGCCCCCCAGCTTCGCGGCAAGGGAACCCCCTTACTCCGTGCTGGCGATGTGCCTCGGGAGCCGGGGACCGAACGAGCGCGTGGCCCAGCCGCAATTGGGCGGGAGGGCGGATGAATGAAGAACGAGCACAGTGTGGCGCGGGCACCGCCCGCAGTTGGGCGGGAGGGAGGAAAAATATACCTGTTTGCGCGGGCCGAGCACATCAGCAGCGCGGGGACGTGACACCCCGAGCCCGACTCAACCCCCGAGCATCAGTTGGGATGCACGGGAGTGGGCCGCTTGCGCAAAGAACGGCCTCGGTGCCCAATAAGGAACACGACGCGGACATCAGTTGGGATGCCGGCCGCGCGAATCACAAGACATATCGGCATCAGTACGCAGACCCGCGCATCAGTTGGGATGCGGAGCCTGCGACAATTTACTCTCACTCTTCTCTCTCTCTCTCTCTCTCACTCTCTCTCTCTCACTCTCTCGCCCCCTCTCTCTCCCTCACACACCCCTGCACACCCACTCACTGACTACCCAGCGCTAGCCTCCTGCTGCACAGATCATGCTTCTCCAGTGCTACTTCCAATCCGGAGCGGGATCAATCACAGGAGGTTGCGCACCGCACTGCCCGCATACGCGGACCCCCAGGCCATGACACGTGCGCTTCTGTAGCACCAGCTGGCGCAATCAGGCGTCAGATCGACACTTATCCGAAAGGCTTCGCCCTCCTCCTAAGTCGGTCAATCCCTGCCTAGATGCTTTGCCCCAGCATCAGGGGGAGATCTCTGTCCAGCCCTCCCGGCAGGGAAGCCCCCCAGCTTCGCGGCAAGGGAACCCCTTCGAGCCCAAACTCCCCCTGAGGCTGCCGGTCCAGGTGGGCGGCGGGCGGGTCGCGCAGCGAGGGCCAGAATGGCCGCTTAGCGTGTGTGCGTGCGAAAATGGAAGGGTGGGAACGCGAGACGAAAGGAAGAAACCAGGCGGGGACCTCTTTGCTACCGTACCAAGAAACGCTCCTGGTTCGTTGGCAGACGCTGCCGAGGAGCCCTCATAGGGGAATCTCGGCTTTCTGTTTGCCACGCAGCCGGCGGAACTTCTTTGGCCCCTCCAGTGGCGACGAGGGCCGAACTGCGCTTGGCGATTTGCCAGGACCAGTCGGCGGGGCGGCCTGCGCGGCCACGATGGCATGCGACGCGGCCGGCGGAGCGCCCGCCACGGCCCTCGCCGCGGCCAGGAACTGTTGCCGCGCCAGCTCCGGCGACGCAGCGGCATACACGTCGTGCATCACAGATGAGGAATGCCAGCCGCCTTGGTCCTGCACCGCTCTGGACGGCGCTTTGGCCACGTGCAAGCTCCATTGTGCGCCGCCTTTGCGGAATGAGTGCGTGCTCGTTGCTTTGTCCTTGAATAACAGAGAAACTGTTTTTCTCCATAAATCGGGACTCACTGCCTTATGCGATGCGCCAGTTGTCGTGCAGAAGAAAACCGGCGGCTCCGGAGGCATCTCTCTCCTGAGAGTCGACCACGTTTCCATGAGGCGGGCGGGGTTGATTCCAGCGAAATCACAATTTGGGATCACGCACGTTTGCCCTCTGCCTTCCGGGTCGTTTTTCTGACGCCGGATGAAGCACCGGGCGCATTCGGACTCAAATTTCACGTCTGCGGCCAGGAGAGCAGAAGCTTCTGATACTCTCCGAATGCCGAAAAAACAGAAGACTGCAAACGCGCCGCCCCGGGCCCCCGCGGCAGACCCTGTGGCGAGGCGGGCTCGGATGAAAGACAGAAGCTCGTCAATAGAAATTGCT